AAATATTATATTTTGTGTATTTTTTATCCCTGGCTCACGAGCTTAACGAGCCAGCTCGAGCTTTTAACGAGCCGAGCCGAGCTGGCTTTCTGACTCGTTAGGATAACGAGCCGAGCCGAGCTAGCTCGTTATCTTAACGAGCCAGAACGAGCCGAGCCCAAACGAGCCGAGCTGGCTCGTTATCCAGCCTTACTCACAACCCTTCAAGCACACGCTTAAACAACGAACTCATAGTGGAGTTCCGGTCGCCCTCGGCCCTTCCGGTCGGACCCGACCGGGCCTCTCGTACACCCACCCTTTCTCCTTCTCGTTTGTAACCCCACTACAGATTTCGAGCACCAAGGCTCAGGAATAAAGTCACCGACCGACCCAAACTGGACATAGGGCACGTTGCCTGAACCAGTATAAATCCTGTGTCATTGAGTGCTAGGCCATCTCCGATCACAACGTATAACAAAACTACAAATATTCACTAGTTGGTCCCTTTCTGCACCGAGACACCCATTAACATGATTCCCTTAGGTAGAAGTCAAATTAGATATGCATGAAATTGAATTACAGCATTTTCACTTGAATTTGAATATAAATATTATCATACAAAAATGAACAGTTCAAATTTGGATTCATATTTGGATGTCTACTTGATTCTAAAAATTTGATCAAATTTGAAATAGTTTGACTTATAATAATTCTAGAAATTGATATAATTTGTGAGGGAAGGAGTATCTATTTGCTTTATCGATTGTTTTAGTACAATAAAGTCATATACAAATAGGGATTAAGATATCAGTATATAAAAGTATATTTTACGCATATGAATTATATAATATAATAACAAATTAATAGTATATTAATTGTGTGTGCATGATTATTATTATGGCAAAACACATGCTATTTACTTACTCTTAGACGCAACTTTTAAAAGTTGAGTGCAAGTGTTTAAAAAAAACTATATTATACATTACTAGTCATATGAATTGAAATTAATATAATAGCTCTAATTAAGTGATGTCATCATTATATAAAAAATTAATTAAATTTTCTTTATATGCTATCATGAATATTAAAATCAATACTTTTAGTCATTACTTTAAAATAGTTTGAATTGGTACTTTAATCAAGTACTATATTCTTCATAGATAGGGATGATATTGGATATGCATCCATTTTCTGTAGTACTGATCTGGAACCAGATAATAAACACATAATGGAAATCGATTCGGACTTTCCTTAAAACTATTCTAGAATACGTAGACACTCTTGGATTTATTTTGCATTTTTTTTGCTACACCAAGCTAATTTGATACGTATGCTATTATAAAAAAATGATATGTACATGTCACAAGCTACTAATCTTGATACGTATATTCTTGGATTTATCTTATAATTTGCCAATCTAGAGCGTGACGTCGACTGAAAAAAAAGAGCTGCAAAGGAAAAAAGAGGGATTGCAGAATTTGGCCGATCGTGTCACAAGCTACTAAAGACAGGAACCACATTAGCTTCCCTCCTAAAACTATGACTGAAAATATTTCCCACCAAATTTTCCCTACTAAAAATCCATCTGCCACGGAAAGTCAAAATTCAGAAACGCTAGGTCGCTGGCAGTTGCCTATCACGTATTTCACGTCCATATCCAATCATCGAGTAGGAAAAAGAAAACTGAATTCCCTCCTCCATTATTTCCTCCAACAGATCCATTTTCTCCGCACGCAAATCGACCGGAGGCTCCCAGGCCGCCGCCGGCTCGCTTGCCCCGTCCTGGCTGCAGTGTTTTCTGCCGAGCTTGGCCCTTCGCCATTGGAGGGAAGGCTCATCACGGTGCCGAGCATCGATGGCGGCGGCATCCGCAGCCTCGTCTCCTCCAACATCATCGCTAAAGCATGATGGATTTGTCACCCACCATTTGAAGTTTGATACGCCTGTTCTCTGTGGAATGCAGGAGCTGGACAGGCCGTACGCGTGCATCGCGGACTACTTCAATGTGATTGGGACGGGACGAGCACCTACGCGTTGGTCACAGCGATTTGCGGCTCGGTTGAGAACAAGCAACCACTCAACGCCAAGGACATCAACAAGTTTTAACTCGACAACGGCTCCAAAATCTTCCAACATAGAAAGTATGATGCCCGTCTAACATCTCACTTTCTCCCTCTATCATGATCACCACCTCTCTGATTAAAATTTGTGGAAACCTAGGTTCAGTTTTTAACATGGAATAGAATTCCTCTTGATGCCTTGATATGATTTGGTCATCTCAGCCTTGATGTGCTGTGGATTTGTCAGCCTTGATTTATTTTGGATTTGTCATTTCCTTCTGAATCTCTTCCTGTGATGCTCTATTACGGACATACTAAATTTGCAGTGCCCTGATTGTACAATTCTTAGAACCTGACAAATGTACATATGAACCTGTGAATGCGTTCACGTTCACGATGATTGTGTATCTTACAGAAAAAACTTACACGGTCTACCATTCGCCAATTGTTGTCTCAGATTTGCTCCCATGCATTTGCATCTGTTGCCTAGAGATAAAGTTCGACTACGTGCGTGTGCTCATCTATGAAACTACTGTATAACTGCAACCACATCTTTTTTTACCCGATTAGACCAATGAAATTGTGATGCTTCTTATTCGTAGCAATGCCATTGCTCTCATATTTTTCCTTGTAATCAGTCAACTAACATCTTACTTCATTCAGAAATCAGAATTAGGGCAATGTGATTCATGACTAAAACAATCCCACTAGATGAGCAGACAAAACAACAGTAGTTCGCTCTATGTATATTGGGCATATATGTTCAATTTCTATTCATATGTTCATTTATAAGCCGTACTTTTTCAGTCAACGAACAATAATTTTTTCTCACACCAAATCAGCCAACGGTACTTTCAGCCGTGGCTTATCAATCGAACAAGCACAGACGAACAGGGCAATAATGGATGTTTTCGGTTACCTGCATGGCGTGATTTATCAATTCCTTTTCTAAGGTTTTTGTTTTAGCAACCTGCACGCTGCCATAGCGCTATTATGGTGTGTTTGGATGCAGCCCTGGCCTAGGAACGCGTGCCTGGCAGGCGCATCCAATCCCAGGCGCTTGAAATTGAACACCTAGGAGTGATGCCTGGCGCAGGCAGCTTTTCTACGCTGCCATGCAAACAGAACATAGAGTTTCATGTTTCAAAACATGGAGTTTAGGCATTTATTGTGAGATCAGTAGTTGAGATTACCTTACAGTGTCTTGTGAAAATTAGAGAAAAAAGTGCTGTGCTGCATCAACCTCTAGACACCAGATTCTGTGGCTGTAACTCCAGTTTGTAGCTTGTATGCATCTGTGATGAGTTTCAGCATAAGAAGCCATTGTTGGGTCTTGGGTGTCAGTATTCTGAATTTGTTCTTGGTCCCTGTCAGATTTGTATAATGCAATCCTCGGTTGTCCTCTTGGTAACCTTAACTGCAATGACTGAGCCATTCTCGTTAAACACAATATATATGATAGTAAGGCTGGAACTGGTTATTAGAAATGAAAATTACACTGTTATAACTTTAGAGAACGCAAGGCCCGAGTGCGTTTGGATTTGGCAAATGATGCTCAATTTGTAACTGGGTTGCCTAGGAGCATAACTGTCCCCAAAAAAACAGAAAACAAATAGGTAACCAAAAGGCTTCTAAGAATCATCGGTGCTAATTTACGCAGAGTTGACATGTAAATAGAGTTTATTAGTGCTTATACTTCATCATGATTAATGAAAGTACTTTGTGGTGATATGATTTACGAGCCAAAAAATGATTTAGCTGCTTCAAGGTGGACTTTGGACATTGCTATGGCTTTACCTGCATGGCGTGATTTATCAATTCCTCTTCTAAGGATTTGCCAAGCAGCAGAGCAGATGAATTAGAATGGCTAAAGCTGCTTATAGGGTTAGGGGCATAATGGATGTTTTCGGTTACCATTGCCAAGCTAACTGTGAAGCTTAAATCATTGCCAAGTTTTTTTGAACCTATTGCCTGGAGGACAAAAAAGTGATATATCTCTACATAGTTTTTTTTGACCTGCTCTTGTGTATAGCTTGAGAACCTGCTCTTGTGTAGTTGTCTTAAAGATCGCTTCCCCACTTACAGGGCCAGCTTATGCAAATGACAATGATGGTTCCACCTTCGTTCCCGCAAGAACTCCACTATCTGAACAAGGAGGACAGGCTGCTTCGCTGGCTGGTTGTGAAGCACAGAGACGCTGTATACGGACTGGAGTTCATCAATGAGGATGACGGGAGGAACGAGCTGAGCGGTTTCAGCCAGGCTCATACGAAGGATGACTACGATATCGAATATGACTCCGATGATGACCGCTGGGACGACGACGACTCGGACGATGACGAGTATGCAATCGAGGAGGAGGAGGAGGAGAAGGAGGAGGAGAAGTAGAACTGCTTGGCCAGGTTTCTGCAGTCTCATCTGTATTGGCAGATGCGTTTTCTTTGAAATCAAATATTGTCTTTGTAATATCTCTTGACTTTTTATAACGTTGTAGGATAGGATGAGAGGCAGAACCTATCAACTTGATTGTAACACACTTTTGCATTGTCGAACATGCTTGCCATTAGATGTTTCAGGCGTGCTCTGCTTCTTGGAAGCATGCTGTATAACGTTCTACTGCTGCTGACAGTTACTACCAGGTTCTATAGCAGTTTGAATGTTTGATCCATTCATACAACAACACAGGTGTATCATCAATATAATTTTGTACAAAGAGGTGTTGCTGCTACATATATATGATCTGCGCCAACAAGGATCGAAGCATCGGTATATGTCTACCGGCGGCAGGTGCGGTGAGTATCGATCATAATTCGGAGTTCAGAAGAGGTGATCCGCCAGCCTCCAGAGCCACCGGAAGATGCCGCCTTCGTCCTCGTCGTCGGAATCCGAGTCGGAATCGGAGTCGTACAGCCACTTCTCGTCGTCCTCCGCCTTCCCCGACACGTTCGGCCAGCCCCAGCCTCACCCCTCCATGGTCGTCGTCTCCTCGGAGCTGGGCCGGACCTCTAACGCTGACGCGCCACCACTGGTCGCCTCCACGCGGGCGGCGTCGCCCTCCTCCTCGGGCACAGCAAGCGCGGTGGTGCCCTGCTCATCGGCACAGTCCGCGGCAGCCCTCACCGGCCTGGGCAGGGGCTCGGTGGCCGCCTCGCGGTCGACGAGGACGACGGCGTCGGCCGCCTGTGCTGCCGGAAGGTCCACGGGGCGGCGCGCTGGCGCGGTGGCCACGAGGAGGCAGCAGACTGCGATGGCGAGCACGACGGCGGCGCGGGCGCGGGCCATGTGGCTAAAAGCTAGCAGCTAGGAGTGACGACTAGAGCCAACGACGACGAGAGGGGGAGGGAGCAATGGACGGAGCCGGCGAGCATGAGAATGAGATTAGTATCAAATTTAATTTAATGGAGGATTTGGCGCTGGATTAGTCGCTAAGGAAGCTTCCCTCGTCGTTTTCGTGTTACGAGAGGGGAGACGACTACAGAGCAAGGGAAGCTAGGCTGTTGCTGACAGCACCATCGCTTGATGCACCAAATGGTTGCTATACGATCTATATTACTGGTTGGTTTTACGGTTGAGTTGGTTACCCTTAGAGCGGATCCAGTGTTAGACGAAATTGAGCCGAGGGAAAGCAAAATTGAACCGAGGGAAAGCAAAATCGAACCGAGAACACTGGAGGCATCGACGGTTTGTTAATTCTAAACTCGGTTCGACTTGAGCGCTGCAGCTGATATATTTCTTTCCTAGCTGACAAATTTGTTTCCCACGTTTCTGACCACACGGTATTGCAAGGAGAAAAAAACCAAAAAGAAGTGATATGTACCTGTTCGCATGAACTTATCAACCACGATACAGTGTTTTCTTCTCACAACAAAATAACATCAACCGGCTTATCAGCTGCAGCCGAACAGCTATACTTCTTTAATAGTCTATGAACATACACATACTGCAAGCCACTGAACAATCAAAACACAAATTGAACCCTGTTCCCTTGGTTCGAATGCTACATTGGAAATTGCTCTTACACCTTCATCTAGTGAAGTGATTGTATATACGAGACATGACGAAGTGTGAACTCAAATAAATTAACATGACAATAGATTAGTGTCATCAAGTTGTATGTACAAACAGGGAGGAGTGTCCGGGTCTGTTCGGCTGGTATTAAAGCCGGCGGATAAGTCATGAAGTTGTTTTGTTGTGAGAGAAAAAAATATTGTAGATTCTTGCTGATAAGTTCAAGCGAACAGACTCAAAGTCAGCATGCTTCCTAGCCATATAGGATGAAGGCGAAGTAGTGGCATTTTTTTATTCATCAACCACTTGATATATACATAATGGATATGAAGTAGTGGCATTTTATTATTTATCAACTACTTGATATATAGGTACCACTGCTTCCTAGCCATATAGTAAGATGGATGTGAAGTAGTTACATTTTATTATTTATGAACTACTTGATATGTAGGTACCATTTGTGGTCGTCTCTCTGGTAATTATTCATTTTAACTATACAAGGCACACACACATTTCAAGAATCAAACTTCTTAATCTTTAGCTAACAATTAGGCTTGCAATATGTAGGTTATTCAAAAAAGGGTATGTGAAAAATGATTTGTTGTCATTATGATCGACTCAGTGCTAACCAACATTTTTTTTGAAAAATTCTAACCAACAATTTAGTCACTCAGGTCACAAGTCTGTGACATTTTGGACATGAACATGGTATTTAAATATCACTTTGATTAGTATTTTTGTATGAAATGTCTATATAATAATAAAACATAGCAAAAGTATACTTTTTATAGAACTAAATTTTGAGACAGATCGGTCTGTATTATTATTCAAACACCCACAAATCCACAATCAACACACCAAAAATAACATACTGCAAAAGTCTGACATGGTTGACTTAAGGTAACTCTAAGACACGCCACTTATTTGTGACCGTGGGAGTAATATGATAAAAAAAATAATGGTTGAAGCTTGACTTTGGAGATCAAATGGACTGTCCGTGCGACCGTGCCTTTGTCCTTGCAGTTGCAGACGTAGGAGATGGGCCGGGCTTGGCATATTCTTACAGACTTTCAGAGCTTGGGGACATGGCAATGTCAATGACGTTGTTTTAATAGTATCTCGAGAACAGCTTGTTCCACGTATCTAATTGTCATTGGTTTCGGATTAGTTTGTCTTGTGTCATCGACTCCTCTACACAGCACTTGTTCGTTGTGGTTAACGTGTCGTCTGTACATAGGATAATTCAAAACTTCGCCTCGCTCTGAGGAAAGTTGCTGGTTATTTATTAGTAGGAAGTAGCATCTTAAAAGGTCGCATACAGGCAAAGCGGACACTTTGCAATGAGGGAAAATTCAATACCAACAAGAGGGGCTACAAATTTCTTAAGGCCCGTTCGTTTAGGCAACGATTGGTACAGGAATCGTTCCAGCTGCTGATAGCTTATCTAAATATGGCAAACAATCAGACCAGGAACGGTTCCAGGGAGCGGTTCCGTGACAACCGAATGGACCCTCAGGGAGAATCTTAATAAAGATGTACTGTATAACAGGGATGATAGAACAGGGAATTGAATTTCTTCACGAAGTGACGTGAAAGGCCCAATGAATGCTAGACGTTAGCTCTTAGCAGCAGGAAACGTAGAATAATAACAATGTTCCTCACTAGAATGTCGTTTTGGTAAATTTACGTTCCCATAGTATAATTTTTTTTAAAGTATTGCTCAACGTTCATGTTTCATTTCTCATTCCTTTTCGAAAACATGGCTGCTAAGTGCTGTAATGTTTTCTCTTGAATCTTGAGTTGCTTAGCCACAAATGGGTTGCGAGGCCAGGAGAAAACAACCTATTATTACTTCATCTCATCTGGTCAGAAATTTAAAGTTTTAGTCTATTATAAATCGACATACCATTAATATATGAAACTTGCATTTTGACTAGTAATAAATGTTTAAAAATATTATATATATTATCAAGAATACTTTTCATATTGCATTGAATCCACTAATACCAATGTATCATATATATGTTGTCAACCTATATAAAACTTTATATACATTTTTTAATGAACTTCGAACATTGATATCTTCTAGCGACCGTGTCGTAGCATGTTTTTCATTAAAAGGGGAAGAAATAAAGTAAATTACCCTTGAAGCTAAGGACTATACGTAAACAACTGTTTGCGATTGGAGGTTTACAAGGTCTAGAGTGTGAACTCTTGCAACTCCTTGATCCCTAATCAAACTAGCAATCAGGTCTCAAGGTGTTTGTAACCCGCTAGGTTCCATTGTATAGCCTCATCAAAATCTTCCTGACCAAGTGGGAAGTGAGGACCAGGGAGTGAACCATTGAGTCGCACGACGTTGGAGGACTCTATTGTTTCTTTCTTTCCACAACATCCAAGCGGCCAGGAGTTCGATATTGGCATCAATTAGAATCCAAATCCAGATGTACTTATATTTGTGATTGGAAGTGAGGTAATTGATACTGATGATCAAATTCTGAAAATCAGGTGGGGAAGCTCTCCCTCTCCCACCGCCCCCAACTTTTCAAAAAAAATGATCTAATTCTGAAATGCCAACGGGCCTAATATGCATTTATTATGTTGACATCAATTAGAGTCCAGCAGAAGGTAACAAAAAATAAAATAAGAGTTGCTATATTTCAGGTGCTTGAATTTTCAGGCAACAATCTTACATAGACAACTAATAGTACAACTAAAAACAACTCACAAGAGACAATTTACAATTTTTTCTATAGACAAACAATAATAAAATTATATATATGTTGTCTGAACAACAAAAAAAAATCAAACACCTGAGATATAGAGTACTCCCTTGTGTTTTTAGGGAAACTGGAGGGGTTTGCACCCCTACAAAGTACTCTCTTTGTTTCAAATTATAAATTGTTTTAGCTTTGTAAGATACATAGTTTTTATTATACACTTAGATACATAGCAAAAACTATGTACCATAAAAATCAAAACGACTTATAATTTGGAACGGATGGAGTATATAGCTAGGAGAAGTGAGAAAATAAGCATATATCGTGTTGATTGCCTTGTCACCGTCTAGGCGCCTAACGTGTCGATCATTAGTAGTGTGATGGACTGCGTGCTTGGTCTCTATTCATCCAGGAACCCTGTGTCGGCTACAGCTCCGGCAGGTGGCATATCACATATGTCCATGCATCTACATTGTACTACTGTTTCCTAATCGGACATTGTACATTATTGTCATATTGTGATCTAGGGCCTATCTACACGCATTCAAAGTAATTTTTTGATCGACTATGTCTTGTTTGTAGCTGTATAGGTATGTAGCAGGTCAGTATATGTATTATACACGGGTGACAGTTTGTAAAGCAGGTGTCATACGTACTAGTTCCATCATCATCGTCTAGCTCCATCTTATATCCTCCCCAGACGTACAGACACACAACTTTGCATGCATGACGAAGAGATGTGCTTTTCCATGCACGCTAGCTAGCTAGCTAGCTAGCTAGGTTTTTCGTTCTAGGCTTCTAGCTGATCAGTCCAATGCAAAGGCCGGCATCGAGTTGTGTTGAGTGTTGACGCTTAATGGCGCCATGCATGCATATATCAAGACCTCGAAAGCCTTGCAACTGCCAATTATCATATCTGTGATCTTCTTCTCAAGAGGTTCGCTCTTCAATTCTTGTCTCGTTTCAACAACATCAGGTCAACCGATGCAATTCCTCAAATAAAGGACACGCCATCACATTCTGCCATGCATATGTACCTACATATATGTGTAGGCACCCAAAGTATCCATATAGCTAATACACATGCATATTATATATTATATACATATGTACAAAGAAGTAACACCCAAAATCACACAGTACGTGAGTTCACATTGATGCACATTAATTTGTGGATAGTGATTGCTGAAGCCACATGCATGACTGAAGATATATATAGCTTTTGAACAAATCACAGCCATTACAGTTATAGATCGACCATAGAGTTGAATATAATCGTCTGGAAGTCGTTGATGCTCTGATGATGATCATTAGGCCCTAGCTAGCGAAGAACTATATATATATATTAGGGTAGTACTTAGTACTACTAGCAGCAGCTAAGTTTGACTAGCGGAGTCAACAAAGCCATATGCATGCATGAGAGTTCACACTCACGCACAACTAACACACGATTGATTAGCTAGCTAGGAACAAGAACAACTCAACGACTCTCCTTTACCTTAGTAAACAACGTACGCTTATATATATATATATATATATATATATATATATATA